AAAACTAACTCACATGCCACTTCAAATTATTTTGAATATTATCAGGAGCAAATGTTTAATACGTTGAGAAACACTACTCTAAACATAAGAGGATCTTCAAAAAATAAACAAACACACAAACCTCCACATGTATATGTAGCTACTACAATAATTAACTTGAGGGTTCAACTGGATTCACATCAGAAAGGAACTTGGTACTAGTTCAATCACAAAACCCCACTTCTCCTAACACACATGCATAGTATCGTCCAGCTTTATATAATACATAATTAGAAAATAGGTGACTACTTCTTCTTCAATACATAAAGTTAGATTTTTTTCTAAAGAAATCATTATTTTCACTTGAAAGGCAGAGTTATAGAAACAGAAAAAGAAACACAGTGTGACAGAGAGATTTTCCATTTGCTGGTTCCCAACCCCCAAATGGCCACCAATGAACACCGCTAGGGTAGTTGGAAGCCAGGAGCCAGGGGTTTCATTTATTTTTCCTTTTTTTTTTAAGACTGATTTTAAAAATTTTTATTGGAAAGCCACGTATACAGAGAGAAGAAGAGACAGAGAGGAAGATCTTCCATCTGCTTATTCACTCCCCATGTGGCTACAACGACCCGAAGCCAGAAGCCAGGCACCTCTTCCGGGTCTCCCACAAAGATGCAGGGTCCCAAGGTTTTGAACCATCCTTGACTGCTTACCCAGGCCACAAGCAGGGAGTTGGATGGAAAGCTAGACCACCAAGATTAGAACCAGCACCCATATGGGATCCTCGCATGTGCAAGGTGAGGACTTCAGCTGCTAGGCTACCACGCTAGGTCCCAGGGGCTTCTGAGTACAGAAGCCATCCTCCACTGCTGCCTTCCCAGGCACATTACAAGGAGCTGGATCAGAAGTGGGGCAGCTGGGGCTCAAACTGGCACCTTTTTGGTTTGCCTGCAGTGCAGGGTAGAGCCTTAGCCTATAATGCCATGGTGCCGGCTCTACTGTCAGGAAATTTTTTGAATACTGAGTACTCCTAATGGATATTACTCTATTCATTTTTATTTGTTAATACAAAATCTCCAAATTCTGCCTTTTAGACTTTCCACAGACCCTACTCATTTAACGGTATTTCCACCAAAAACAAGATAATCATCTTTTTGTAACAGTGTTAGAATTATATCTCTCTAGAGATATATTTGTAAATTTTTACTAAATTTAAAACTATTGTGAAAATGAGAACAACACTCACAATATTCACTTCCTTAGAATTTTTCCTCTAAAAGAGACAATACTTTTCTTTTTTTTTTATAAATTTTTTAAAGATTTATTTTTATTATTTTTTTATTGGAAAGGCGGATATACAGAGGAAGATCTTCCATCCGATGATTCACTCCCCAAGTGAGCGCAATGGCCGATACTATGCCAATCGGAAGCCTCTTCTGGATCTCCCACGCGGGTGCAGGGTCCCAAAGCTTTGGGCCGTCCTCGACTGCTTTTCCGGGCCACAGGCAGGGAGCTGGATGGGAAGCGGGGCTGCCGGGATAGAACTGGCACCCATATGGGATCCCGGGCGTGCAAGGCTGCACAGCCGGGTCTCCCAAGAGTTAACTCCACAGCACAGCTTGTTTCTCAAAGGTGTAACAGGAAGGGCAATCATGGCCTGATACATTTAGCCCCCATGGTTTGACTACAATTTCCCTCCTTCCTGCTTCCCCTTTTTGCACATCCTTGGGGGAGCTTAGGTGTTGCTTAACCATTGGGAAGATCCTGGGAGGGGCCAAGCAGACTATATAAGAGAGTTTGACTTTGAATAATGACTTCACTTCACAAGAATAAGCCTCAGTGTGTTGTGTGTGTTGTCTGTCTTGTCTGTCTCATAACCCTAGTCCCTCCGCTCGGCTTGGGGCTTGGGGTATGTGGCGACGTGGGCGTTGCCAACACAAGGCATGGACCTTAACCACTTGCACTACCGCGCTGGGCCCGAGACAATACTTTTCATATAAATTTCCTTTCAATAAATTGTCCTGAAAAATAATGTAGAAAAAATACTTCCTGTATATACACAAACTAAAAGACCAACAGTAGAGAATTTTCAATTTTTTTTGAAGACTATTTATTTGAAGACATAGAAAGCAAAGCTAAGACAGGGAGAGATGGTCCGTGTGGCTCTTCAGATGGCTGCCAGGCCCAAGTCAGGAGCTAGGAACTCATTCCAGGTCTCCCACGTGGGTAGCAGGGATCCTAGCTCCAGTACTTGGGCCATCTTCTGCAGCCTTCTCAGGCCAGTACTAGGGAATCAGCTTGGAAGTGGAGCAGCCAGCACTCAAATTGTGACCTACACAAAGGATACTGGCACTGCAGACAATGGCTTTACCTACTATGACACCAATTCCGGCTCCCAAGTATTCTTTTTAACATTTCTCTCAATTTAGAAAATCAGGATCTAAATTCATGTTGGTTATTACCATGCTAACAACTTCCTTTACTGTGCTGGCTCAAAATGTGGGTACTACCATCTTTTCCCAAGTCAGTATGCCTGCTCCCTAACTCTTTTCCTGTGATTCCCACATTATTGCTCTTATTCCAATCTAATCACTGTGCTAATACTACCTACTAACTCTTAACTAGCCTCTGAACTCCATTTTTCTACTCATACATGTGTACACATCACTGCCACAGAAATTTCCGTAAGATATAATTTTCTTCATGTCACATTCCCTACCAAGACTTCCAGCTCATTCCAACAGAAACATTCACTTTCCATTTCACTCATATTCCAAAGCACAGCTCACATAACCCTTCTATGTTCTAGCATGTCTGAGCTGTAAAGGACCTTGACAAGAACTAACAGTTTGTTCCTTTGACATTGATCACTTTCACTTGGCAAATGTAAGTTTTATTACTTACATATGAGAGGGTCTTCAGAAACCGCATAAAAAATGCACACCATGAAAAAAAAAGTACATAGATTTCAGAATATTTTACACCAGATTAACTTACTTCTAGTTCCATTTCTCCAAAAACCTTTGGAGTCTTATCTTACCATTCCAACTATAAACCAACAGAGACGAGCTTTGAGTCTGCTGAGTCCTTTGTGCCTTGCTGTCATGCACTGACAGGATCTGCCAAACTAGCATCATATAAAACCGAAGTATCTTGTTTGGAAACTTAAAGATAAAAACTTAATCTTGGAACCAAAAGATCAGAACATGCTTTGGGGATGCACTGACATTTGAGATGACTTTAAAACTTGAGAATAAAAGGGTGGGGAAGGAATACACCAGGAGCAAATAGTAAGGGACCCAGAGGGGAGCACTATCAAGTGATAAAGTTCTAGAATTAGAAGAGCACTGATCACAGGAACCAAGAATTTCAAGAAAGGAAAAAAAGACAACTCTTAACAGCAAGCTAAAGATAAGAAACCGCGAAGAATCAGAAAGCACGGCACTTATCGGCAGAGCAAATCCAGCAACTTGGCAGGGATGCAAGGAGGGCAAGAGAATGCCAAGGAAACAAGAGCGGGACAAAATACCTTCATTAAGTGCACAGAAAATGCTTATTATGAAAAAGCTACATTGGGACTTCAAGACTTTTTGCATTAATATGAATTTATTTTTAAGATTTATCAATTTTTATTGAAAAGGCAGATATACAGAGAGGAGGAGAGACAGAGGAAAATCTTCCATCCAATGATTCACTCCTCAAGTGGCTGCAACAACAGCTGAGCTGATCAGAAGCCAGGAGTCTGGAGCTTCTTCCAGGTCTCCCACGTAGGTGTAGGGTCCCAAGGCTTTGGGCCATCCTTGACTGCCTTCCCAAGCCACAAGCAGAGAGCTGGATGGGAGGCAGAGCGGCCAGGACACGAAGCAGTGCCTATATGGGATCCTGGCACACACAAGGTGAGGACTTCAGCCACTAAGCTACACCAGGCCCATGAATTTACTTTTTTAAATTCTATTTTTACATGAACTTTTGGAAGTTGGCTCATATTATCCACATTAACTCCAGTTTCCGACTCTGCTGATCCTGAAGGGCAGTAGCGCCAGCTGAAGTACTTGGGGTCCTGCCACCTACATGGGAGACCAGAATTGTGCTTCAGCTTCCAGCTCTAGCCAGACCCCAATCCTGGTGCTGTATATTACATGTGTGGAGTAGGCCAGCAGATGGAGTGCTCTTGCTCCATCACATAAAAATAAAATAAACTCCTGAAACAGAAAATATGTGAAACCTTCTGAAATATCATAAACAACTCAATTTATAGCTTATTTCCTATACTATGAGTTAAGCAGCATCAATTTAGGCAGGCTGATAGTGAGAAGATAGGCTGAGGATTGCCCAGTTCATAAGGCACAGCCCCAAACTGCCACCCTCTGCTCTAAATCCCACTGGTGGTGGCTGGTGGTAGGGGTGGATTTCAGATTCTCTTTTTAACACCTGACTCAGGTTAGAAGTTCCCAATGTGGTGGCAGGTTCGGCACACCCTATCTCATGAAAGAGGGTGGTGGTCAAACCCAGCCACCCCTAAAACTGTCTCATTTTAATATTTGAATTGCACTGTCCCAGTCACAACTTTTAGCCTATAAAAGGATGACAAGGAATTCTGCTAATTGCAGCTGATTCTGTTTCCTATGCTTGCCTACACTCCAGTTTAAGTGTATAGCGTTCCCTTTGCCTTTAAATAAATCTTGCTTTCCTATTTACCTCTATCTACACCTCGTCTATGAATTCTTTCACATGTGGAAACAAGAACTTGGACCAGGTCTAGCCTAGGGTATCTGCAGCAATAATTAACAAGAAACAAGTATTTTTCACCTTGAAACGGAGGTTCAACATTTACAAGAGGAAGAAAACAAATTATTTACTAACTTGTTAGAAGGATGATTCAAAAAAAAGGGGGTGATTCAGAAGCTAACAAAGTATAGTACTGAAACTAAAGAAGCTCAAATAAAGGTATGATGATGACTGATAAGGACTCCTAATTACTAAGAAATGTGAATCTGCTTTCTTATAGCTGATGAGCTTACCTTAGATATGTGCCCAGATAAAAATGTACTTCCAATTTTCTCCAAACAGCTTTGACCTATGCTTCCATCTCATGAATTCCAAGACAGTATTGAGAGGATGCATATTTTCATAAATCTGGTTAGGGGAAAAAAAAAAGAATTGATTTAAGACTGAACTTTTACTTAGAGCTACACAAGTAGAAGAAACACTAAGCATATCTCAAATATAAAACTATACATTTGAAAAGAAAAAAATGAAAACATCCACAGTGTTTTTACAAACCTATTACTTTACAAATTTCCCAACTTCTGTCAAAAAGAACATGAAAATTTAAGCTGTGGGCCTGGCGTGGTGGCGCAGTGGTTAGGATCCTCGCCTTGCATGCCCAGGATCCCATATGGGTGCCAGTTCTAATCCTGGCGGCCCGGCTTCCCATCCAGCTCCCTGCCTGTGGCCCAGGAAAGCAGTAGAGGATGGCCAAAGACTTTGGGACTCTGCACCCCGCCACCCTATCCCCACCCCCCCACCCCCGCGTGGGAGACCCGGAAGAGGCTCCTGGCTTCAGATTGGCATAGCATCAGCCGTTGCGCTCACTTGGGGAGTGAGTCATCGGACGGAAGATCTTCCTCTCTGTCTCTCCTCTCTGTATATCCACCTTTCCGAGAAAAATAAAATAAATCTTAAAAAAAAAAAAAAAAGAAAACTTAAGCTTGTGAGAAAAAAGTACTCACATATAAACATTTCCAGGTTAGCTAAAACTTTAGAGAAACAAAAATCATACTTCAGGGCCCAACGCTGTGGCCTAGCGGCTAAAGTCCTTGCCTTGAGCTCACCAGGATCCCATATGGGTGCCAGTTCTAATCCCGGCAGCTCCACTTCCCATCCAGCTCCCTGCTTGAGGCTTGGGAAAGCAGTCGAGGATGGCCCAAAGCCTTGGGACCCTGCACCTGAGACGGAGACCCAGTAGAAGCTCCTGGCTTCTGATCTGCACAGCACCAGCCACTGCAGTCACTAGGGGAGTGAATCAGTGGACGGAAGATCTTCCTCTCTGCCTCTCTTCTTCACTGTATATCTGACTATACAATAAAAAAATAAATAAATAAATCTTTGGGTAAAAAAAGGAGAAGGACAAATATCTCCTAACCACTGGTTTTCTCTCCAAATGCCTGTAGCAATCAGGATGAGCCAGGTAAAATGAAGAACCAGGCGCTCCTTTCCCAGCCTCTCCCACTGTGCCATCACCTGCTACCTCCCCGGTGTGTACAAACAGGGAGCTAGACAGGACCTGAAGCAAGTACTCCAAATGCGATGCAGGAATCCCACACAGAGAACTTCTTTTCAAAACATAATTAACTACAGAATAAAACCGAAGTCAAGAAGGAAGGCTCCTCCTAGAAGACATTAAAAAAAAAAAAAAAAGATCCTTTGGATAGAAGTCCCTAATTTAAGCCAACTGTACCATCTGCTGTTTCCTTGCCAGTGAGCAACTAGACCACCAAGTATCTAATATAACTCTGGCACATTAAGTTTGTCAGGGAGGTTCTAGAGGTGGTTTTTCTGGTCAAAGAAGAGATGGTCAGTGCTTTTCTTAACATAAAACTGTGTTGGAAGGTGGCAGCTCGAACATCCCGTAGGGAGGGAACTGAAAGCACAACCAACAGAGTAAGGACGGAAGTCAGGGTAAAACACAGTGAGGCAGGGCCAGCCTGCACCAGCACCCCACACAGACAGGTGCCAGATCAAGTCCCAGCTGCCCATTTCTCGTCCATTTCAGCTCTCTGATTGTGGACTGAAAAAGCAATAGAAGACTGTTCTTGGCTCCCAGCTGGAGCTCAGCTCAGCACAGCTCAGCTGCAACTGTTGAAGCCATTTGGGGAGTGAACCAGTAGATGGATGGAATATCTATCTTTCTTTCTCTCTATGGGGGAGAAAGAAAAGAACTGCCTTTCAAGTAAAATATATCTTAAAAAAAAAAAAAAGACAGTGAGGCTGTTAAACATGAATGAAGGACTGCTGGAGCATGCCAATTCGGATCTTCCCGTTACATGAAATCTTACTAGTATTCTTTAAGCAACCAATGATACAGCATGGACACACCACTGTATCTGTAATGGTAATTCAAATCTCTATTTTTTTTAAAGATTTATTTTATTTTTATTGCAAAATCAAATATACAGAAATGAGGGGAGAGGAAGATCATCTGTCTGATGATTCTCTCCCCAAATTACCGCAATGGCCAGAGCTGTACAGATCAGAAGCCAAGAGCCAGAAACTTCCTCCAGGTCTCCCATGCGGGTACAGGGTCCCAAGGCTTTGGGCCGTCCTCGACTGCTTTCCCAGGCCACAAGCAGGGAGCTGGATGGAAAGTGGAGCTGCTGGGATTAGAAGCGGCCCCCCATGGGATCCTGGTGAGCTCAAGGCGAGGACTTCAGCTGCTAGGCCACTGCGGCAGGCACTAAATCTCAATTTGGATCTCAGCCCAGATCCCTCTTCTGAATTAGACACATATTTCCACACTAGAAAACAACTCTAAAAGTTATTCCTGTGTCATTTCAGTAGGACCAGTATGAAAGACATCACCTTGCAGCACAGAAGCTGTTTATGTCCTCGGCATTCACTTTTCAGTTAGAGGCACACCATCTACCCAGTTACCAAAGCCAGAAGTCTTGGAATCACAAGCCCTCCTCCCTCTGCTATATCTATTACATTAAGTTGCTCCTAAATGCTGCTTCGGATCAGTGCAGCTCTGGCTGTTGCAGCCACTTGGGATTGAATCATTGGAAGGAAGGCCTTCCTCTCTGTCTCTCCTCCTCTTTGTATATCTGGTTTATCCTTAAAATCCGTCTTCCTCATGCTTAAACACATTGTCTTTTGCAGGCTCTCATCTTTCATGTTGCTAACCTCCATTCTTACCTCTATTCTCTGTGCTTACTGAAAAGATGATCAGTATCACCACCCATTAGGGAAAGGAAAACTAAAACTGTAACATACCACCACACAGCCAGCAGAATGGTCCCCATCACAGGGGCAGACAATGGCAAGTACCAAAGAGAACAGAGAAACCAGAACCTCACCCACCACTGTAGCCACACAGCGTGATGTAGTCACTGTGCAGAACAGGTTGTCAAATTCTTCAAGTTAAATGTAAACATAAACTCACCATAAGAACCAACATTTTCTCTCTAGGAACCTACCCAAGAGAAATAAAAATTATCCCACAAACATTATCTAGAAATATTCATAGCAGCATTATCCATAACAATCATGACCTGGACACAATCCAGATGTCTGCCACCTGCTGAGTGAATAAATGAAATATGGGGAAGCCACAGAAGGGAATACTATCAGGCAATAAAAAGAAAGGAAACTTGGATACACACAGCAACATGGACCAACCTCAAAAAGGTATTACGTGAAATAATTCAGATGCAAAAGACTATATCTGAAATTATTCTATGTACATGAAATACTCTCACAAAAGGCAAATTTAGAGGTAGAAAGTACAGCAGTGATTGCCTTAAAAAGACAGAGAAACAGGCCATTGTGGGAGGTAACAAAAACAAGTTAGTGGCCAGCACAATGGTTCAACAGGCTAATCCGCCACCTGTAAGAACCAGCATCCCATGGGGTGCCAGTTCACGCCCCAATTGCTCCACTTCCCATCCAGCTCCCTGCTTGTGGCCTGGAAAAGCAGTAGAGGGAGGCCTAAAGCCTTGGGACCCTGCACCCATGTGGGAGACCTGGAGGAAGTTCCAGGCCCCCAGCTTCGGATCAGTGCAGCTCTGGCTGTTGCAGCCACTTGGGATTGAATCATTGGAAGGAAGATCTTCCTCTCTGTCTCTCCTCCTCTTTGTATATCTGACTTTACAATAAAAATAAAATAAATCTTAGAAAAAAAAATTCTGTGGCAAACACTGTGGTGTAGTGGGTTAAGCCACTGCCTGCAATACCAGCAACCCATATGGGCTCTGGTTCAACTCCTGACTGCTCCACTCCCAACCCAGCTAATGTGCCTAGGAAAGCAGTGGCAGATAGTCCAAGTGCTTAGGTCACTGTGACCACAGGACCCAAGAGGAAGCTCCTGGTCCTGGCTTCATCTTGGCCCAGCCCTGGCTGTTGTCATCATCTGTGGAGTGGCTTTAAATAAAATAAATAAATAAATAAATAAATAAATAAATAAATAAATAAATAAATCTCAAAACACACCCACTTAAGGACATTTACTTCTACTGCTATATGAGAGGAAAACCACAGGAAGTTACCCAATGTCACCAAAACATTGAACATTAGATAGTAAAAAATAAGCTATCTCATCTATTCATGCAGACATGACTGTGTTTAAAAAGAGGGGAAAAAGGAAGCAGCAGCATATCTCCATTACTTACATGAGAAAACTTATTTAAAAACATGCACGGGTTTGGTGCAGTAGCCTAGCAGCTGGGTCCTCCCCTTGCACGTGCCAGGAGCCATATGGGCACCGGTTCTGGTCCTGGCAGCCCTGCTTCCCATTCAACCCCCTGCTTGTAGCCTGAGTAGGTAGTCAAGGATGGCCCAAGGCCTTGGAACCCTATGCCTGCTTAAGAGACCCGGAGGGGGCTCCTGGCTCCTGGCTTCAGATTGGTATAGCTCTGGCCATTGCAGCTGCTCTGGGAATGAGTCAGCAAATGGAGGATCTTCCTCTCTGTCTCTCCTCTTTTCTCTGTATACTTGGCTTTGCAATAAAAATAAATAAATCTCAAAAACATATATATGTGCAAGAGTCTATGTTCACAACATGTGTTCATCATGCATGAAACAGGTTAGAAGCTTGAAAGACTACAAATGTAACTGTTTTGGAGTAGGCAAAGAAGGTGGAATCATCCTAGATGTCCATCAAGAACACAGATTAGACAAAATGTGGCTTATCCACACAGTGGAGTATTACTCAATCGTAACCATAAAAAGAACTGAGTCATGCTACAATATGGATGAACTCTGAAAACAGGCTAAGCCATAGAAGCCAGACAAAAAGGGCCTGATTCCATCTCAATGAAGCATCACAGTAGGTAAGCCCACAGAGACAGGAAGCAGAACAGGTTCATGACTAAAAGGTGGCAGCAAGAATACAGG